TGATTTTTGTTTTCTTGTTCTGTACGAGTAGGTGCCCAGAAGGAAAGAATGATTCCTGGGGACATGTTCTTTCTTCAGGTGGGTCTATTCTTTCTGCCCCTTCTAAGTTTTATTCCTACAAATTGCCAAGTTGTGTCAACTGTGATCCCCTTTCATGAAGGTTTGTGCTACCCTCGGCTTTCTTATCTATTTATTTATTTGTTCTGTGTTTGATTGACTCTGAACTGTTACAATGAGAGGATTATCTTGAATGCTAATCTAGTGAAGAATTTTAGGTTATGGTAGTTTACTTTCTAGCATTGTTGTCTATTAGAGCAAATGAGATGCCATTTCATCATTTCAAAATGATAGTAGGAGCTTGTAATATGACACTGAAGCTTTGTTTTATTAGACAGCATGGCAAACATAAGTTAGAGAATGGGGATTTACCATAGAATGCAGGGTTTTGGATTGATGATGAGATTTATGATGATTTTATGTCCTCGTCTGTAGATGTGGTTTTAACTTAATGGTTGTAAATCACTTAGCCAGACATTTTGGAATGGTTGATATATTCAGTGGAATTGCCCAAGCTCTGGTTGCAAATTTCGATTACTTTTACTCTTTTAGATTGAATTGATGACATCCAAATCTTAGATCAGTGAAGTAGCTAGCAAGATCCACATTACCAAAGATGCAAAATAAGTTTCTTTTTCATAGGGTGGCAAAAATATTTCTGATTTTATTGATTCCATCTGGAATCCTGTGATGTGGTTGGTCAAGCTGGAGAGATAAGTTGAATTCCACCCAAGATAGAGAAATCAAATTACTATTTCACTGAAGATTTAAAATATGCAAGAAAGGGATTTCAGAATGACTACCTTGTAGGTTTGTACCTTCTGTAAGGATTTCAATTCCACACTAATTGTTTAATGTTCTTCTTTACATTCTGCTCAATTATGGAATTTGCCCCTCATCCAACAAACACAAATAGCAAAGTGATATTATGGGAGAATAATTCCTTCTCCACCATTCAACTCCTCCAATCTGATGGCAGCCCTCGATTTTCTTGTCTTCCAGCTGTTATCATTAAAATTGCAGATCTTCTTTGCAAACAAGAAGTTTTTTTAATCAGCTTGCAACAAGAATATTTCATTGCTAATTTCCTTCAGATGATACTGTGATGGTCATCGGATCTTTTTCCTACTGCAGGCTTATGACAGCACAATACTGGGAAGTGGGAGAGCTATTATTCACAGCCATGGGATAGAGTCTTGCCTTGTAACAATAATCAATCCCTTCTCAAAGGAGTTCCAAGCAATTATCTACAGTTGGCTAATTGTCATTTTTGAGTGAAAAGTTCAATCTTTTTTTTATTCGTCATGTATTCTTAATTCAATGTGTGCCTTCCCCTTTTCTGCCCTTTGTTTTCTGTTTCTGCCTTTCTGTTTCAACCTGACTTGAGTACTTACTGGGTCTCATGAGTTCAATACCATTTATGTCTGGAAAATGAATGTATATTCTGTTTGATATCATTTACATTCTTTATTTTGAAGCACTCCTTTCGCCTTTTTATTTGGATCTCTATCTATTTTTTCAGATATAAAGTTTCAGGTGTTCTATTTACTAATTACTCATCCAGTTGATTTTTCAGATCACTCACATATAGATCATAAAAGGAATTCAAGGACATGGTTATCCATCCTGGCAAGATTATTTCCAACTGAGCCTCCTTGAACCCCTTAGACTAGTTGCTACTCCAGTCTATGATATCTACAGGGTGTTTGGCAAGGATGCGTTTTCACAAATGACTCATTGCACCATCTTGCAGCATTTCTGCAGAATTGAGAATGAAAAACACTTGGTATTGCAGACTTCAAAACCAAGATGAAAATTTTGAATCAGACTTGTCAACTGGAGAAACTGTTTGCATTATCTAGTCTAGCCATGGTTCAATTGTACAAACAACAGTTTTAACTTTGCAATTGTTTCCAATAATGGGATCGGTTCAATATGGGGTTGGACTGCTGGTTGAATTGGCTTGTACTGAGTTGGTGTTTCTTCCTGGTTTGGTTAGAATTTGGTTCTATATAAGTAATTCATCTTTAAATTGCTTAAAAATTAGTTATACAATTTACTAAAAACAGTAAAGCTAATATGCTTGGAAGTTGTGCTTGCTTGATTATATGATATTGGGTTTTGAGGTTGTATGTGATGTAGCTTCCATGTATTTTAGATGCCAATATCAGCAATGAATGCTCCGTGTTAATCACTACTCGCATTATAGCTCTTAATTTAGGCGGTTAAGTAGTTGTATTAGCATTTATTATATTATGCTTCTTAGCCAAGGGCCATAACAGATAGCTAGGACCAACATTGGGTAATGTCCTTATAATATGCTCAATGGCCAAAACATTAAAAATACATGTATACTAGTTTTATGCATATTCCAGTAGTTTCCATACGGCATATTAGTTTTTTTTTGGTTTACTTCATAGTGAAAATACTATCCTCAAATTCTCTTTCCTTTTAATCTCTAGGTATTGTTTAGGGGTTTGTCATTTTTGTTAGCTTTGACTTGTTGATATTTGCCTACTAATCCATGTTTCAGGTTTGGAAGTTATAATTTCCATTCAACCAGAAAATAGACCTCTCAATCATGAGTTCAAAACGATCGGGTCCTTTTTTGGAAATTTGAGACAAATATGATCTTCTGTAATGTTATTAACAGTGGAAATTTGGCTTGAGAAGTACGTAAATAAACAAACAACCCTGGATAAGCTTAAAAAAATTTTTGGATCTTAACCAAGTTTCTAGTTTGTATGACCATTTTTGTCACCATGGTCAACAAATGCATCCAAGGGGGGAAAGAGAATGTATATGATGATGCCCCCTTAAAGATGCAGTACAGATCAATATGAAGGATGGAGTTCAGCACCACCGACATTCTGAATGTTCTGCGGCAAAAGGAGCAGAGGATGTTAGTTATAGTCATTCAAGACGGACAATAATGATTCACCATCCAAGAAACCTCCCCTTAGCCAAAATTTTCCTGCTAGGATTATTGCGACTGTCTGATCCATCAACCGTAGTTATATATATTTATGTATGCACTGTCATGTATTAGCTGATGTTGCAGTTGCTTTTGTTTTGAAAAACAAAATCACATACTGGTGAACACACCTTAATTTGATCCAGAACCTCCTAGAGATCCAACAGGTTGTGAGATTTTCTTGGGTAATTTTTCTCTTTCTTTTTTTTTTCAAAGAAAGCAACCTTTCATTACTTGAGCACATAATTACAAGATATTCCTTCCAGGTTTCATGATCACAAAAAATATTTTCTCATTCAAACCAGAGGTGTTTGCATGAAAAAAAATGATAGGTTGGGAGATTTGAGAAGAAAAAGTGCTTTTACTCTCTACCAAGGAGGTAATATAGTCCTGAATAATGATGTTGACTCTGATGATGGTGAATTGATGGAGGATGTCTAACCATTGTTCATGAAAACTGCCCATTTAATGATCGTCAACCGTTCAATGCCGTACACGAAGTCACAAACCATACCCACACAAAACAAAATAAAAGAGGCCCCCCCCACGTTTTCTGGTCTTGCTGTTTTGGTCTCTCTTTTCAAAGAGTGCAAGACCCATTCCCCACCTTACTTTCTCGTGTCTCCATTCATTAGGAGTTTTTTTTCTAAGTCTTCTTTGAGTCAAAAAGGATACAACTCAAAAGAAAAAAAAAGGTGTCCATGAGTTCCCAAATTCCAAGCTGAAATAAGAAAACTACTATTAAACTACCCCTTTTCCCTTGGAGTTATGAGCTTACAAGGATCATGAGTTTGTTTTTTCCATAGTTCTTAACATCTTTACCAGGTATTGATCTTCAAAACTAGGATAATCCAATAACTGTTGCATTTACTCAGTTCTGAAAAAGATCTTATGCAAGCAAAAAGTAAACCGAAAGTAGACAAAAAAACTAAACCATAAGTAGATTTTACTGTATTCAACATAGCTTGCAGTTGGATTACCTCTGTTCAATTGTCACCCACACCCGGATCTATCTGGGCCAGACTGTGATATCTCTACCTTGCCGTCCATGGCATTCTATGGGATGCCTAAGACAAACTGGTCATGAGAGTTGGCCAGCAAAATGAGCAAGACTGGTCTACCACCTACAACTGTAAGCAGCAGTGGGTAAGATCACGACCCAGGCAGCAGAAACCCATCATTTGGTGGATCCCACCCATGATCTCTGATGTAAAGAAATGGACCCACCAAATACCCTTTATAGCCACACCGTCTACATATACAGGTGTAATTTTCAGAGACCTTTCACAGCAGAGTGAAAAAAAAAATCAGATTGCTATGACGATCCGATCAAGTTGCACTTTGACATGATATCAAATGGTGATTCTCTCAGCCCCATGTGGTTGAGAGAATTGATACTGTTAGACATTTGATAGGGTCTACCGACATGGGTATCCCCCGACATTCTGGCTACACACTCTAGACAGTGCAAATGTGAGTTCTGCAAATTCCCTATCATCCTAGTTTGGCTTGGTCTTCCCATTTCTTGGCCACTTTTCTGCCATGAACACAAAATGGTCAAGATTCCTTGCTCATGCATCCAATTGTCTTGGCAGTTGGCAAGTTCTTGCCATTTGTCAATGGCACAGCAGAATACCATCTCTTTACAGATCTCCACTCCTTGTAATAGAAGTCTTCTTCTATACTCCATAGTTGTATTCCACTTGATAAAATAATGCAACTTAGGTTGGACTAAATTCACATTCACTGCACATAGAATGATAAAATAAGCTCATTTTCCAGTTTCTTCTCTCCTCACCAACTAGTGTGACAAGGGACCCCATAAAATAACATTTTCCTCTTTTGCTCTCTTACCAAGGGCCAATTTGAAAACAAAGACTGCAAATGAAGAGTCTACATTTACGGTACCATTGGATCAATAGGAAAATTTGATAAAAATCATTCACCATTTTTTTTTAAGATTAGAAAAGGAAGAAGGCAAACACAGATTCTTCTCGTGTTGATGGGTCTCATTGACAAACATGCAAAAAGGAAAATGAGAAGAATAGATTATAAAAAGAAGATAAGAAAAGAAATTACAGAAAAAAAAGAAGAAAAAGAAGAAAAAGAAGGGGAAGGATAAGTTTGAGATCAAATTGTACAATTGATACAAGATCTCAATTTTTCTCTGCAGAAAAATCATGACCCATTAATGTTCTCCTCATCAGTTGCGATATGCGCTTACAAAAACTACATCTTTTCAAGAAGAGGAACCTGAAACTCTGGGGGATGTCACCGGAAAGAGCGGCAAAAGCCGGGGCTCGGAGTCTCTTGGAGTCGTAATAGGCGAGGGATGCAAATAGAACCCCTTTTCCGCAATCGCTTTCTCTTCTGCTAAGGAATTACTGATAGAATTGTCGGCATAAGGAGTAGGAGACCTGTTAAACGGGTCTGGGATCAACGGTGTAACCGGGCTGAGAACAAGGGAAGGAAAATCGAGCAGACTAGGTGACAAGATCTCTGGCTTCCGCGGCGAAAACCCAGAATTCTGGATCAACCCAGGCATCAAAGGACTGATCTTCAGATTCTTGAGACTGTTCCTCCTCTCGTAAAGCTTAAATCCTTGTTTCTTCGGGCCGGTCTTCATGGGCGGTATGGGGCTTTTGGATGGTGGGTCGACGGTGGCCTTGGACGCTTGTTTGGCCGTCTCTGATGATCCGGTGAGAATCTGGACTACTTGTTTGAAGGAAGAGGTGTCTGCTTGGATGAAGGTTGTTGGGTACGCATTGGTTTCAGATCTGCATATGGTTTTTGGCGTTAAGGGGAGCTGAACTCCATTGCTATTGCTGCTGCTACTGGTGCTACTGTTGCTGCTGTTGCTGTTTGGGGAGGTTAGGACAGAAGGCTTCTCTCTATCTTGACGTCTTGGAGAATTTTCCATGATGTTTTTGTTTTTCCCTCTCTCTCAGCTTTCTTAGCTCTTCCTTCTTACAGAGTTTTGTAGTTGGACAGACCACAGATATAAAATAAGCAGGGTTTGGGCAGAGAAGAAGAAACAAGAAAGGAGGGGAGGGGGAGTCCGAGGAGAGATGTATGAGTGAAGAACAAGGTTGGATGAGAGAGAGAGGTGATGACACTACTTTATTTTGTTTTCTTTCTCTCTCTTCCTTCTTCCTCTTTCCATCTCTTTTCTTTCTCCTTTTTTACTGTTTTGGTGATTGATTGAAAATGGGTTTTTATGGTTTTTGATTGGGTATGTGGGAAAATGTCCAACGGTTTAAGCAAAATATGATAAGACGCCATTGGCTGTGTTGGAATTTCATGGGTGGGGCTGCATGTGTGCAAGTCGTCAAAAGCTTCAATATTTCCATTGACTTCAGAGCCCTGACGCTGACTCTGCTGTTGGGGACTTGGGGGGTGCACCCCTAGCATTAAAAACCCACATCGGTGGAACAATTCACCATTTGTTTAGACTTTGGACCGGATTAGATAAGATGATCCCTAGATGCTACCGTCTTTGGTTAATTACATTGTTGCCCCTTGACCCCTTTAAATATTAGTGTGGTTCTGCTTCTGCCCTACATGATTGTAGAGGTGTCAATGGACCGGTTTTGGGTTGGATTCATTTAAAACAAAATCAATTTGGATGGGTTGAACGAACCAATAAGACATTGAATCGGATCACTCTAGATTTAAGAGTTTAACGTATTTATTGGATTGGATCTGATCCCATTTGTAATGGATTTATTTTGGATTGGGCCAGGTTTGGATTGGAACCAATCTAAATTAAAACCAATTTAAACTGATTGGATGGTTCAGACATTGAATTAGATTGGTCCAAAATAGTCTAGAGTATTTAGTGGATTGGATTGGATCTGATCCATCTGTAATGGGCTTATTTTGAATTGGGCCAGGTTTGGATTGGAACTAATTTAAATTAAAATCAATTTGAACAGATTGGATGGTCCAAACGTTAAATTGGATTGATCCAAAATGGTCTAGAGTATTCAACGGATTTGATTGGACCTAGTCCATTTGTAATGGATTCATATTGGACCTGGTCCAGACCAATTGACACCCCTACATGAGTACTCTCACCTAAGATGCAAGTCTTAGACACTCCCCTCTTCGAGGGTGGGTTAAGGTTCTTCATGGATAGTTGTCAATGGTGAAGGACTGAGTAGATACAGAGATGGACGGCTGATACTTGGGAACACCAAACCTGCATACAAAGAGAAAAAGAAACAGCTGCACAATATAGGGTTCGAGACACTATCTCTCAAACAAAATGCAAGAGAGAACTGTCAAATCTGGATGGGGCTGAAAATTGGAGGTTGCTTGATCTTCCAAGTTATCTTAATTTGCACACTTTGCTATCTTTCTGATAGCCATATATATAGGTCTTTCCCCAACGTTCATTTCCTTGTTTTGAGGAGGGAACTCAACCAACTTGAACGTTTGGAGGGAAGACCAAGTTAAGGCCTCTCCAGATTGAGACAAATGTCTCATATTGACCAAGGATCTAACCACATGATCATCTAGTCTAGATTGGGTCAAATGGATATCCATTGACCCAATAAGAACTGGAACTTGGATCCAGAATAATCCAACAATATTGGTATCTCCATGCATAAAAACATTTTCAAATAAACAATCAAATAAATTTATTTTTATAGAAAATAAATAAATAGGTAATAATTTAAAATGATTGTGTGTGAGAGTGTTGCATAGAGATAACCATAAAATAATAATCTTCCATCAACATGTGGCTTGTCACATGACCATTGGATATTCCAACATGTTGAGGATCAAACGAGGGCCTATGGCCACTCTACCATCATCTCCCACTTGGCCAATTAGGCCCGAGATGAACAAGTGCCAACCAACCCCATCGCTTTAACGTGCCTTACATAATCAATAACTGCAATGGGTCGGCAATCATATCTTTTGTAGGCACATATTCTATCAGGATTTCATTCCGTTGGTAGACATCATATAAATATCGGTAATGGAGATCTATGTGTTTCCCTTTAGGGCCGATCTCACAATTTTTAATTGTCTTAATAGCAGCTTGGTTGTCATTGAAGATCTTCACAACTCCTATTGGTACAACAAGAATTATGAGTTCTTCCAAGAATCTCCTAATCCAAACTGCTTCAGATGCCGCGGAGCTACAGGAGATAAGCCTAGCTTTGATGATGAACTTAGCTACACAACTTTGCTTCTTGCTTGTCCATGAGACAACACCTCATCCTAAGAGGAATAAGTACCCGGTTGTGGATTTTCTATCATCTGGGTCACCTGCAAAATCAGCATCACAATAACCCAGTAACTCTAAATCATTTGCGTGATAGGATAATTTGAAGTGTTTTGTCAATTGCAAATATCTAAATATTCTTTTAACAGTTTTCCAATGTGTTTTACTTGGGTTACTTTGGTATCTACTAACAAGGCCTACAACATATGAGATATCTGGTCTTGTGCAAAGCATGATATACATCAAGCTACCAATAGCTTGAGCATAGGGTTTATACTTCATTTTCTCTATTTCATCATCATTAGTAGGAGCCATATCCCTACTTAATTTGGTTCCTTTACAAATTGGAATTTCAACTCCATTACAGTCTTTCATATTAAATTTCCTTAGGATTTTTTTTCCAAGTAATGTTCTTGTAAAAGAGTTAAGGTTTTAGTGTTATTTTCTTTTTCTATTTTAATTCCAAGTACATAATTAGCATCACCCATGTCTTTCATTTCAAAGTTGATTTTTAACCAATCTTTAGTTTTATTAATCATAGAGACATCATTTCCAGCAATAAGAATATCATCTACATATAATGAAAGAACAACAAAACTGCTCCCACTATTAAAAGAGTAAACACAATGATCAAATGGATTAGGTATAAATCCAAGTTTAGAGATTGCTTCAAGGAAGGTGTGGTACCACATCCTAGAGGACTGTTTTAAACCATACAAAGATTTCTTTAATTTATACGCTTTATTTTCTTGTCTCTCTATTACATAACCTTTGGGTTGAGTCATGTATATTTCTTCATTCAACTTTCCATTGAGGAAAGCAGTTTTAACATCTAATTGACACAATTCTAAGTCCAAAAAGGCAACTAAGGACATTAGGATTCTAATAGAGGTAAACTTGGCAACTGAAGAGTAAGTCTTCTCATAATCAATCCCTTCTACTTGGGTGTACCCTTTTGCTACTAATCTTGCCTTATATTTTTCTATAGACCCATCAGCATTGAGTTTTCTCTTTAATATCCATTTACACCCTATAGGTTTCCTATTCTTAGGTAAATCAACTAATTCCCAAACCTGATATTTATTTATTGAGTTTAACTCTTCTTCCATGGCTTCACACCACTTTTCCTTATCAGGTGCATCCATAGCATCTTCAAAATCAACTGGATCATTAAGAGATTCTTCATTCAAGTAGGTATAATAATCTTTTAATCTTGATGAAGGGAATCTTTCTCTCTGAATTCTACCTAAGGTGTCATTATTAGATGAAACCTGTCTTTCAGGTGCAGTCTCAGCTTTTATAAATTCTTTGTTTATTTCAAATAGGGTAGGTAATTGTTTATTATCCTCAATTTGATCTTCTAGAAAAACAACATCTTTGCTTTCTATTAATTCAACTATTCAATCAGATTTGTGATTAACAAATCTATACCCTTTGCTATTTTCACTGTACCCTATAAAGGTACACCTTAGACTCTTGTTATCTAACTTGCTTCTTTGTTGACTTGGTACTCTTACATAGGCATTAGCCCCCCAAATTTTGATGTCAGTCAAGTCTGGTTTTCTACCAGTCCACATTTCATGGGGTATTAAGTTATTAACTTTAGTTGGACCCTTATTTAGAATATATATAGCAGTACCTAAGGATCATTCCCAAAAGTGTGTTCCTAGACTTGAGTGAGATAACACTGATCTCACCATATCCAACAAAGTCCTATTTCTTCGTTCAACCACTTCATTATGTTGTGGTGTGAAGGACATGGTTAATTGGTGTATGATTCCATTTTGTGTACAAAAGTCACTAAATATGTTAGAGATATATTCTCCACTTCTATTACTCCTAAGAGTTTTTATTTTTCTACCCAATTGGTTTTCTACAAGTGTTTTATATTCTTTAAATTTCTCTAACACTTCTGATTTTCTTTTAATCAGATACACAAAGCCAAATCTAGAGAAATCATCTATAAAAGTTACAAAATATTCCATACCCCTATGTGTTTTTACATTCAAAGGGCCACAAACATTAGAGTGTATTATACCTAATAATTCCTTTGATTTCTTTCCTTTCTTGAAAGGGAGCCTAGTTATTTTTCCACTAAGGCATGGTTCACAATAATTAAAATTTAATTATATTTTGGGAATTAATCCATTGGTGCTCATTCTCATTATTTTGTCTTCGTTTATGTGACAAAATCTCATATGCCAAATGTATGCATTTTCATCCACATGATAAACACAATCATAACTAGAAAGAGCATCAAGTTTATTAATAGTCAAACTGTACAATTCATCAAACTTATTTCCAAACCTTAAAACTCTACCATGCTTCCCTATGGTCACTTTTCCTCCCCTAAAACATACATCAAAACCCTTCTCATCTAATAGAGGTACAAACAATAAATTTCTCCTAAAATTAGGTGCATACAATACATCATTAAGGATTAAATTTGTGTTCTCATTTATGGGGATCTTCACTTTTTCAGTTCCAAGTACATATCAGTGTAGGTGTTGTTTCCCATAAAAATTTTGTGTTCTCCTATCTTCATTTCCTTCAGTTCCAGGAACGTCTCTTTAGTTTTGTAAATATGCTTAGAGGAGCCAGAATCTATGCACCAATCAGAAAAATCAGAATCAGTAAACCAGGATTCAGAGACTACAAAGACTATGCCTTTCTTTTTAGTTTTTCCCTTTTCATTATTTGATTTATTCTTCTTGCATTCAGGGCAATTAAATTTTGTATAGTTTTGTTTTCCATAGTTAAAGCAATGTTTACCCTTTGTCTTCTTGAATCCTTTTGAGAATTTAAATTTCTTATTAAATTTCTTCCCATTATTATTTTTGAAAAATTTGCCCTTAAGCTTTTCAGCCATTTGGAAAGTTTTAATTGGTTTGGGAGTAACCATTAAGGATGAAGGTTGGGATTTCTTCCTCTTCCTTTCAGCCTCTTA